CAGGGTAACCCAGGTCACTGTGTTGTGCTGCTGTATGTGGGGAAGGGTCTGAGAGGGAACAATGCTTCTTGTTTGGCTCTCAGCCAGCTATCAGTCACTTCCTCCACTACCCACAAGCAAATTGGGTCCTTCTGGTGCTGATTCCCAGGTAGGTGGTTTTGTGTGCATTCTAGGACCCTGTGGGTCTCTCCAGTAAATTATCCTGTGAGGCTGGAAGTTTCTCCTGCCGCTGCCTCAACCCCCACAGGTGTTTTCAATCAGAAGTTTGAGGCTTTACTTCCTGGTGCTGGGACCTTGGGTTGCGTGGTCTGTCTCGCTCCCCAGTTGTTCCTCCCCGTTTATCTGCATGCCAATGTGGGACCACCAAGTCCACCACCTCGCTGGGTCCACCTGTTGCTGCCTTGCTGCAAGTCCTTTCCACCCTGCTGCCCCCCCTTCTGGGCTGGGTAAACGTCTCTTCTTTAACTCCTTGGTTGTCAGACTTCCATACAGTTCGATTTTCTGTCAGTTCTGGTTGTTTTTTGTTTTTTAATTGTTGTTGTCCTTCTTTTGGTTGTGCAAAGAGGCACAGTGTGTACCTACGCCTCCATCTTGGCCAAAAATTTTAATTATTGTTTAATTAATATTTTATTTTTCTCATACTAAATCTTTAAAATCTGGTGTGTATTTTACATTTAACAGCACATCTCAATTCAGACAGTTTCATACAAAGTACATTATATGCCAAAGTCGTTACAGACATACCAGAGAGTTTTCTAATAACTTAACTAAGGATACATTTTTAAATGTAAAGAAAATATAAGTTAAAATTCAGTTGCAGTCACACCGGCCATAGTCGAAGTGCTCGGCAGCAATGTGTGGCTAATGGCTCACACATTGTTCGTCCCAGCACTGGCTCAGTTGGTCCACTTCACTGCCTGGTTGTCTGAAAGGCATTCTAAGAGTCAAAACAACTCCTAAGTGACATATGACACCAAGCTGATAGTTTAAAAAATGTCAGTAACATATCTTGTAAGTAATATATTCATATTTTTCTTTTTTTGAAAAATGCTATTTTATTTTTTGTTTTAAGTCACACAATTATTCAGGAGTGATCAAGGAGATAATTTTATTGAGGACTTCATTTATACTTTCTTTTTTTAATCCTAATTTTTTTCACAATTTTTTTTGTTGTTCAAGGACAGTTGTCTCCATTTCCCCCAAATCACACCTCCCCCCCCCAAGCCATCCCCACTTCCCACCCTTGATCCTACCCCACTTTGGTTTTGTTCATGTATCCTTTATATATGTTCCTGAAAAACCTTTCCCCTTTCTCCCCTGTTATCCCCTCCCACACCTGGTTACTGTCAGTTTATTCTGAATTTCAATGTCTCAGATCATATTTTGCTTGCCTGTTTATTTTGTTGATTAGTTTTCACTTATAGGTGAGATCATATGCTATTTATCTTTCATTGCCTGGTTTATTTCATTTAGCATAATGCTCTCCAGTTCCATCCATGATGTTTCAAAGGGTAGGAGCTCCTTTTTTCTGATGCATAGTATTCCACCAGTTTTTTGATCCACTCATTTACTGATGGGAAGATTGCTTCCAGGACTTGACTATTGTAAATTCTGCTGCTATGAACATTGGGGTGCATAGGTTCTTTTGAATTAGTGTTTCAGGATTCTTAGGGTATAATCCCAGCAGTGAAATTGCCAGGTCAAAAGGCAGTTCCATTTTTAGTTTCCTGTGGAAATTTCATACTGGTTTTCACAGTGGCTACACCAGTCTTCAATCCCACCAACAGTGTACTAGGGTTCCCTTTTCCCCACACCCTCTCCAACACTTGTTGTTTGTTGATTTGTTTCTGATGGCCATCTCACCAGTATGAAGTGCTATTTCATTGTGGTTTTAATTTTCATCTTTCTGATGGCTAATGATGCTGAGCATCCTTTCATATGTCTCTGGGCCCTCTGTATGTCCTCCTTAGAGAAGTGTCTATTCAAGTCCTTTGCTAATTTTCTAATTGGGTTCTTTGTCTTCCTGGAGTGGAGTCCTGTGAGTTTTTTATGTACTTTGGAGATCAAGCCCTTGTCCAAGATATAATTGGCAAATATGTTTTTTCATACAGTTGGTTCTCTTTTCATTTTAATGCTGTTTTCTTTAGCCATGCAGAAGCCTTTAATTTTGATGAGATACCACTTGTTTATTCTTTCCTTTATGTTTATTGCTCTAGGGGACATATCGGTAAAAATATTGCTGTGTGGAATATCTGAGAATTTCCTGCCTATGTTCTTCCCTAGGACTTTTATGGTGTTATGACTTATATGTAAGTCTTTTATCCACCTTGAATTTATTTTTGTGTATGGTATAAGTTAGTGATCATGATTTTTTTTTTTTTGCATGTGCTTGTCCAGATCTCCCAACACCATTTGTTGAAGAGGATATTTTTACTTCATTTTATGCTTCTGCCCCCTTTGTTGAATAGTATTTGACCATAGACACTTGGGTTTATTTCTGGGCTCTCTATTCTGTTCCATTGATCTATGTGTCTGTTCTTAGGCCAGTAGTGGGCTGTTTTGAATACAGTGGCCTTGTCATACAGTTTGATGTCAGGTATTGTGATCCCTCCTGCTTTGCTTCTCTTTCTCAAAATTGCTGCAGCTATATGGGGTCATTTATGATTCCATATAAATTTTTGAAATGTTTATTGTATATCTGTGAAATATGCCATTGGTACTCTAATAGGGATTGAGTTCAATCTATAAATTGCTTTGGGTGGTATGGACATTTTGATTATGTTAATTCTTCCAATCCATGAACATAGTATGTGCTGCCATTTGTTTGTGTCTTCCTTGATTTCTTTGTTCAGTGTTGTGTAGTTTCCTGAGTACAGGTCTTTTACCTCTTTGGTTAGGGTTATTCCCAGATACTTTATTTTTCTTGTTGCTATATCAAATGGGATTTTTTCCCCTGATTTGTTTCTGACATTTCACTGTCAGTGTACCAAAATGCCTTTGATTTCCTAATATTGATTTTGTGTCCCAATGTTTTGCCATATTCACTTATTAGGTGGAGTAGTTTTTGGTGGAATCTATAGGATTTTTTATGCACACTATCATGTCATCTGTTAACAATGACAGTTTTGCTTCCTCCTTTCCAATTTGGATGCTTTTTCTTTCTTTTTCTTGTCTGATTGCTGTGGCTAGGACTTCCAATACTATGTCGAATAGAAGTGGTGAAAGTGAACATAGAATCTTTCATCTCAACAAAGCAAAATATACATTCTTTTCAAATGCACATGGAACATTTTCAAAGATAGACCATGTGATAGATAGGACATAAAACAAGCCTCAACAAATTCAAGAAAATTGCATTCATATCAAGTATTTTCTCTGATCACAAGGGACTAAAACTAGAAACCACCTCAAGGGAAAAACTCAAAACACTCAAATTCATGGAGATTGAATAGCATGCTATTAAACAATAAGATCAAGAAAGAAATCAAAAAGTTTCTGGAAACAAATGAAAATGAACTCACAACAGTCCAAAAACTTTGTGTCTGAAGATTTTTTTTCAGAATTCAGCTGTGTGTGTGATTTTGTGTGTGTGTGTGTATATATATATATATATATATATATACACACACACATATATATATATACACACATCTATATATATATATATATACACACACACACACAAAACTTTGTGTATATATATATATATACTTGTGTATATATAGTATATGTATATGAAAAAGATCCTTCTATATGTGTGTGCATGTGTATATGCATATGTTTATATATTTAAATATATACATAAATATGTACATACACACACACATATAGAAGGATCACCATAAGCATGTATCCTTGATCTAGTATCTTCAGATATTGCTGCTTTGTGAAGACAATCTAAAAACACAGATATACAAACTAGTAGAGTCTGAAACATTCTGGCTTTTAGAACTATGGGAGTTTGTGTGTTCTCTAAAAAGGTACTTTTCCTGAGGGCACTTTACTTGACGACTGGAGAGCCATAAGAATGCATTCATCTTTTATCCGAGCTTTTTCTTTGGAATAAGTACATCATTTGGACTCTTGTGAATTTATCCCAAGATTTCCCTTTATAGCACACAAATCAGGAATTATCCTACCACTGTCTAAGCCTTCCCTAATCACAAAAATCTTAGAATAATGAGATTTTTTAAGCTGGAAGAAACCTTAGAAATTAAATATTCTATCCTAAGTAAAAAAAAAACAAAACAAAAACAGGCCAGGAAAGGCGATGCTTGAACTCATGCAGCTAGTTAGCAGCAGCTTTAGAGTCTTTCTCCTTCTATCCCACTATCTGGCCTCCTCTACAGAACGCCACTTTGTGTGTATTTTTTTAAACTGTCAAGTTGGTGTCCTAATCTTTGTGGCTTCCAACTGGCTCTCTCTGAGTTAAGTGGTTTAGAAGAAATGTTCAGCTATTTAAATCATAATTATTTCATCCTCCACTAAGACAACCAGTAGCTGAAGACATTCTCGCAGCCTCTTCCATTCGAGCTGGGCCCCGGTCCATCACCTCATAACTGCTCCCAAGGACATTCCTTAGTCATCCTTCAGATGGTTTGAAAACGCAATACCTTTTCTCACCTTATTTTTACTCTTCGAACATCTGTTTTAACCACTTATGTAGCAATCCCAGTCCCTATCCTTGGCATAAGTAGCCACACATCATCATACCTTCCTTCTCTCTTAAACCAAAAAATATTCTCCAGGCTACTGGGAATTGTGGTTTTGAACACTGACTCTAAAAGTTTGTTTTCTGGGAATTGGTACAGGGAAAGAACACTGTGTTGGGGTTGTGAAGTGAAGATTGAGGTTTAATATCTGAGGATATCTTCCAGTAATAGTTGAGTCTTCGATTATTATTGTATGTATTCATTCAATTATTATATACCTTTCAAGTCCCCAAGAAAGATCCCCAGGTTAGCACCCTCTGCTTAAAAACGACGAGTACCAGAGGCAGCGCAATAAACAACCATGTCAAGAAAAGGATAAATTGTGTCCAAATTTAAATTACCCAAGATGAAAGACAGTGGTACATCTAAATTGCAAATATATTTTTAATGCCAGAAAAAAATTTTCAGTAACAAATGCTGATGAAATAAATTCACATCAGCAAATGCTGGTGAAAAATCCTATGTGAAATAACTTTCTTTATTCATATTCAACCAGTATTTATTGAGCGCCTTTTACCTGGCGGGCATGGGGGCTATAGACTTGCCCTGACCCTCATGGAGCTTGCAGTCTGCTGGGAAAGACAACCATTAGACGAGCAGATCCATCAAACGAGTAGGCCTGTGACTAGAGGGAGATTAGGGGGCAGCACAGAGACAATACCTGGGGGCCTTTAATGGGAGTGAGGCCCCCTGAGGAGACCATGTTTGATCTGACATCAATCCTTGTGAAATAACATTGTCTGCGCAAATAATTGCTAATTTTTAACATAACTGCAATTTCATTAATGTTATAGAATCCACTTGGACTTTTGCTCATTATATATACTCACCCAGAGCTGATATCAAAATATCCAACAACCAGGAACATGGGACGTGGGGCAGTTAGAGTAGAAGCTAACCTCTGTTCTGGGGCAGAGAGCGGGAAGCTGCCTAGTGTGCTGTGTGTTAATCGCTTGACCTTGGAGAGGTCTAGGCTTCCTGGGGAAGGGACTACGGTGGAAGAGAATGACAGGACCGCAGCCATTTACCAACCACTATTGCCCCCTTATTGCTTGCTCATCAGTCCTATGTGTACTGGGCTCCTGTTGAGAGTCTGCATTAAAATTCAAATTTGACAAGAAAAAAAAATCCCTTATTGTTTCAATCATCTTATTGCACAAAACCAATCACTAAGAAAAAACCTAAAATATTTTATGCAATAAAATGAAGTCAACAATTTTACAAAGCACTGGTTTTAAGGTATTGAGAACTAACATTTTTCCATATAGTGCTGAACATAAAGTATGACATTAAGCTTGCCTGATATATTTTTTTGAATAACATTATTTCAAGAATTTCTAAATTTAGGTAGTTTAAGAATATACTGAACTTTGAGGGTATGATTTCATGTGATAAGTTCAAATACCTCTTTCGATGTAAGAAAAAGGAAGACATTTTAGCAGAATGTTAAATGTATTATTGAATTCACAAAAAGCCAGCAATGGGCTAATACAAAAAAAATTATGTTATTGCTTAAAATGCAAACATAAATTTATGTCCAGAAGAAGAGAACAATTATATTAACTGAGCTTGGAGGTACCACTGTATTGTCAAGTATAATAAACTATTTAAATAAGGCCTCCATTTTTAATCTGGAAGAATATGATGAGGCTAGTTTTTGGTATAAATCCAAACTCTGCCAACTCCAAACACATAACACTTAGGAAATGCAAATCTTGTGCTATATTTACTATACACTAAACTTTTACAGCTAAGGCAGAAATGCTTACATGAATAACCAATTTGAACTAAACACTGTAAATTCATGAATTTACTTTTGTTTTACCCTGATGTAAATATTAATGGACCATTAATCAATTCTAATGGAAGTGTGTTTACTTCTCCCTGTCTCTCTTCATGTGAATATTTAAAATACCTACAAATATTTATATGATAACCTACTATAACTTCATCAAATACAATCACTCTAAGAAACAGGGAAAGGGAAAATTGTTTTTCTTTGACTTTAATCTCAAATTGTAACAGAGTTTGTGCTGAAAGGTGACCTCTAAATCTCTTATATCCTCAGAAAAAGAATCTCTTACTTCCTGGGAAAAAAAGAACAGTTTTTTAAGAGCATTATTATTTAATTTGCACTTTCAGATTCATTTATGAGCATTGCTCTGGTAAAAGTTAATTATGGCACCAGTATTCCCACCTGAGCTCAGTTTCTAGGATGGAAACATGTGCAACAAAGGGAACCGCACTTCCAAGTGGCTGTGCCCTTTCTAAAATCCAGGAGGAAAAGTGCCAAGTATTAGGACAAGCCTGGGCCAAGAGTCCCTTCCAGGGCCTTGCAAGAGCTTTTCTGGCAATCTGAATATATTCAGAGAGAATGTGTTGGGTCCCTGTATTTTTTTCAGTAAGCCTCCATTTGGCAGGCATACTTCTATTAAATAGATTGTTTAAATTAAACCTGCATGCTACAGAAATAACTCCCACTGTAAGAAATTTGCAGATCCGGTCTTAGCATATTTGTAGGGTTTTTTCCCCACTTACTAATAAGGAGGCAAAATTATGTCCTTTGAAAGTGGCATCTTATATTTGTTAGAAGCTGTTGAGGCAGCATTGTGGAGGAGGCCAGCATGGGCTTTGCTATCTGACAGACCGAGATATGAGTTCCTATTTAACCTCTCAGAGCTTCCTTACCTGTATATGTCAATGGGGAAATTATACTTTGTAGGTTGTTGGGAGAATTAGGAATAATCTATTACAGTGCTGGGCACATAGTAAGTGCTCAGTAAATAGTAGCTCTTGATTTTTGTGTTCTTTTGGGGTGATTTTGCCTGCTCTTCGACAGCAGGATCTCCCTAAACACCAGTGCTGTGGTAACCTAGACCATTTCTCATGGCTGACACCAGTTCTCTGCCATGGAGGATTCTGGCCTCTAGGGGACATTTGGCACTGCCTGGGAGCATATCTGGTTGTCACAACTGAAAAGGGATGGGGGAAGGTGCTCCTGGCATCTAGTGGGGAGGGTCAAAGAGGCTGCTAAACATCCTACAATGCACAGCACATTCCTCCCTCCCCCCCACAAAGTATTATCCAGTCCAGAAAGGCAGTAGTGCCAAGGTTAAGAAGCCCTGGCCAACACAGTAATCACAATAAATTCTAGAGGCAGAGAAACCATAGCAACAGTCAGAAAATTCATCATAAATTTCAAACTCTCCATAAAGGGAATGAAGGACAGTCTTAGAAATGAGCATAAAATCAGTACATGTAACTATTTAACAGGCTGCCTAGTAGGTGGGTGTGGTAGGTGTGTTTGTGATTTTGTCTTTTTTTTTTTTAGCAGTACACCCACCCTTGCTTCAGATACATGCGTGTGTGGTGCGCTGAAGTCAGTGTTCTGCACTACCAATCTGGGATAACTGGGAACTTGGCCCTCACAAAGGGGGTTTTTAGTAATGCCATGAACCGTTAATCCCATGAATTAAAAATCTCGATATGGATGGGTACATATCGAGACACATAAGATCAGTATACTCCATACTTTAGTGTATAAGAAGGTTGAAAATGTTTAATGTATAAAAAGGTTTATTGTATATGCTTCAATGCATAACATTTTTAGGGAAAGAAATAAAAGAAAGTCTGTGGCATAATCCAAACAGGAAGTGTGCTTAAGTGAACTTTGTTTTGGAGGCCATGCCATGCAAGCAGACGGTGTCCCTTTAGAGTTCTTGTGGGTCCTTGGTACTTTTGATGTCCCCGTGGATGGTGAAAGCCACTGAACTGCTATCACAAATCTCACTTATTCTCCTCCATTGATGACTTATAAGTGCACTATGGGTTTTCAAGTAAAAACCTCATTTATATTTTTAAAAATCATCACTAATTCAGAAAGTCCTGTTTTCTTTTGAACCCAAGTTAATGAAATCATACAACTCTAATACATTTTGGTTTCTCACTTGAGGAATGAATGGTATTTTCAAACCATTGCAAGAAACAAAAAGCCCAGGGAATGTCTGGGGTAGAAATAGGTTAAAAAAAAGAGAGAGAGAGAGAGAAAGGTATAAAGTTTAGTACTAATCAGTATTCTCCCCCAAATTTCTTGAACAAACATGTATATATGATTTTCCTGCTCTGTCAGGATGTAAAAAGTGTCAGAAAATTTATAATAAGGTAACTTATTATAAATTTTAACTTATAATTAGGTAACAATTTGGTTCACTTTATACTACTGTATTTTTCTGACTATAAGACATACCTTTTTTCCCCCAAATTTGGGAGTAATAATGGTTGTTAATGCTGGTGTTGAGTTCTGTTTACATTTACATTGGTGAAAGATTGTGTTATTTATGTTATTCAATATTCTACCACATTTTTTGCTTCAGTTTTTTTTCCTATTTCCTTCCTCTAAAACCTAGGTGCGTCTTATAGTCTGAAAAATACAGTATTTAATTAATTTATTTGAAATAGGTATTTGAAAATTATTCATAGGGATAAATGTCTAATCCAGAGAATAGAAATGAAAAAGATTATTTGAATGATTGAGAATCTGACTTTTCTGCTTACTATGTTTTTAAAAAGTCAAAAGGACTGGTACTACTGAAAGACATGTAACCACCCCAGGAAAGAGACTCTGGCCCTCAGACCACCACATACCAACTGGCAGTAAAGAAATACTCACTTAATCTTTGAGATAATATATTTAGGGGGAAAAAAGAATTGCCAGCAAAGGCAAGTCTGCTTGAGAAATCAGGTTCGAAGTCAGAAGAGACGGCAATGAGGACTCGAACTCTGCTCTCTGCTTAGTTCATAGGAGTAGAAGGGGATTTAAGGCTCCTATGAAAAGGACATCGAGTTGCAGCTCTTGATAGTCTACTCCTAAACTCAGTGAGAGAATTTGGCGTGTCTCAGTTCCCAGAGACTAGGGTCAGTGGTTTTATAAAACCCCAACATGGCCTCAGCAAAGGCTGAGGAGGGGTGATTGAAATCTACAAGGTGGACAGCACGTTATCACCAGGTGAACAGGGTGAACATGAAAGAGGTGAGTTCAAGTCAAATGAAAGATCCTACTTTAAACAACAGGCTGCAAACTTAAGAATCCCATCAACCCCATAAAAACAGAAAATTTGTACAATTTCCTTTCTATGTTGATGAATTCCTGGATTATTGATACATAATGAATTTTAGAGAAAACTGAGGTAAGCAGAGGATCATCTTCCAAATCCAAGTGAAGGCAGATGAGCATCCCCACTGTGTTGGAGGCAAACAGGCAAAGGGTCTGGGCAGATGAAGGCTGACTCCTTGTCCACTACTCGTCCACCCTCATGTTAACACATTGACATGTCCTGGCCACGTGGCAGGCACCAGGCTGCCTGTACCACAAAGGCAATGACCATGTCTGCCTAGAGCAGGCAACAGCCCAGTGGGAGGCTGCGCATGTAAAACGATAGTTAGAATCATAGACGTACTCCACTCTGTAGATATTTCCTCGAGTTCTTGATGAGGCCTTGCAGCCTATTTCCACCTTGTATTTACCCAGCTGAGAGTATAACAGCTACTTGCATTGAAAATGTCTTTCTTCAGGAATAGCTGAGGTTTAGATAAATCTTTGTAACTGTGAAAAAGCCTGAAATCCTTTCGTTCCAGCTCTTTGAGGAGGCTGTACCAGAACCGCACCACACTGCTGTCACTGCCACCAACCTCGAACCCAGGCCAGTGGAGATGGATCTCGAAGAGGAGCTGTCCAATTTGCTCAAGGACATCTTCCAGAATAAGATTTTCCAAAACTTTCCATTCTGCACTTTCCAGATCTGCTTTGAGAACATCAATCTGTAAAAAAAATAGTGATAGAATGAGATTAGCAGATTCAATAATCATTGTTTAAAATGCCATCTTGGTATCAGGAGCATCGCTGTTTAACTACCACCCTAGAAAGCAGAATTTTCTTTTCTTTTCTTTCTTTTTTTTTAGCTATTGATTTTTTAGAGAGAGAGAAAGAGAGAAACACTGATTCACTGTTCCACTTATTTAGGCACTCATTGATTGATTCTTGTATTCACCCTGACAGGAGATCAAACCCACAACCTTGGTATATGGGGGCAACCCTGTAGCTAACTGACCTACCTGGGCAGGGCCAGCAGAATTTGTTGAATTTTAGACTTAGAGGTCTTTTTCAAATGGCCACTATGAATTTCCAACCTCACTCCATACCAAATATTAATATACAAATGATGAAATGCCAGTCAGTTGTAGTGAACCCTCTTTCCTTCTGCCCAATGGGAATGGATGCCTAAGAAAGAGGTGTATCTTCCTGCTGTAGTGTATCACAAAGCTCCATGTTCACAGCCCCCCGGCCACCCGGGAACCTACATGCTGCACAGGGGAACCCAAGTGTGTCCAGACAGAATGGTGGTCTGCAGAGAGGGACTGACAGAGGATCACTGCCTGCAGGACCACCTCACTAACCATACCCGCTCCAACTTCACCAGGACCAGAAGCCAGGGAAAGAGTTCTCAGGTATCTGAATATTGGACTTGAAAAAAGACTATTATTCCATGATTTCTTTAAAAAGTATATACAACATTCTAAAATGAAAAAGGCAAAAATACCACTCTCTGTTCACTTAATGAATACAAGTTCACATTCTGGGTGAGACAGAATATAGAAAAAAGAGTAGGATGGGAAAGATTTTAATTAAGTTACGAGAATCAGCTCCTTTTTGCTGGCTTTGTACAAAATCCATTAGAATAACAGAACTCCAAATACCCCCAGAAAGCAATGAAAGCTAATTACTCACCAAGAGCCTATATGCACCTGGCATTATGCTAAGCATTTCATCTTGCAATATCCATTTACTCCTTTTAACAGTTCTGCAGGAGTGGGTCCCTTAGCATCCCTCTTCAGAGTTTAGGAAATCAGACTCACGCTGCCCCATCCCACCACACTGCTACAGAGGCAATGGCAAAATGTAAACCGGATCTGTGTGCAGGCCCAGGTTCTCAACCACTACAGGATGCTGACCCCCCCATAAACCACAAAAGGAAAAACAGTAACTTCAGAGTCCCTAAAAGGCGGTTGGTTTGGGAAATAAGGTCTATTGGAGAGAGAAGGGGGGTCAGTGGGTAGAAGTATTGTTATTGACAATACCATTTTACATTTTCAGAGCACTTTCCAGCCCTAAAGCATTATAATCTCAGTGAAACAGCCCTATCGGCAGACAAGGATTTAGTAAAGACGACTTTCTGTTCCTAGGAATGGAGGGACAGTGGGAGTGGATAAGTAGACCACACTGAGGCAGGTGACAGCATTCAGACCAAACTGGAATAATGAGGATGGAGGAAATTGCTGTGATAGAGCAAAGGCCAGCATCCCAACAGGTGACGGCGCACGCAGCCCTAATCAGCTCCTCAGGAAGCAGAGGACCAAAGTATCTGGTGTCCTGTCCATGCCAGTAAAACATCTCTGTCTGTGTGGAAGGATGGATAAGGAATCAGACCAATCCGCCCCGACCTCTCCTCTCCAGCACATCTCTGTTTGGTAAGTTTCTCAGAGACAGCTGAGTCACGAGGCCCTCAGGGCAGTGCTAACATTTCTTGTGGGATTTCAGAGTGGGATGGAGAAGAGGCATTGCTCCAAGAAAATGGTCTCTGCCCGGCGTCCTGAGGTCCTGTGGGACCCGCTTTCATTCTCTTGTCTTGGATATCACCTGCTGGTCCATCAGGGGTAGAGTGACGATGATAACAGCCCCAAGGTTACAAAGAGGCTTAGAAAAGGCTAGATCTCTACAAACCAGCTGGTTGATGCAATGGCTCTGAAGTCAAAGAGAAAAACATAAAACAAACACAAAACAACTTTCTTTTCTGAAAGGAACAGAGCAAAGGCAGATTCCATGGGAACATACACAAGACTAAAATAATTCTTCTCATTTGGACACAACAGAATTAATTCACCCTTTTTTCATCTCTGCAGTCCTGACACTTGCTTGGCTTTGTTTAATTTTTGAAATCTTAAGCAAAATATTCCTGAGTTAGGATAATTAAGCTGCCAAAAGAGATAATCAAAACTTTGCACCATTTTTCTAATTGGTATAGAAACTATCCAAAACCTAAAATCAACATTTGTGGGGACGGTTCACATTGCCAAGAATTTCTTAGGTTCCTTATAGATTTATTTTTTACTGTGGTTTTCTGTGAGTTTGCATAGTTGAATGATCAATAAAACATTAAAGGGACAGGTTAAAGTTAATCAGCCTAAAATTGTCCTAAAAACTATAACTATGAAGTGTAGAAGAATATACTTAACATATTTTTCCAAACATTTGTTTTAAATAAGCTGTTAATCAGAAGTTATGAGCAACTGGAAAATTACCAAATTATTAGGCTAAATCGTAGCAAATGTAAGCTTGCTTTGGAAATCCAATTTTCATCCACAAAACGCTAACCCATTGTAATGAGCAAAAAGTACAGTCAAACATGACAACATCCCCACCGCCTTTTGACTTCAGTGACTAACGATTCTCCCCATCAGTGGGAACTGCACAGGCTGGTCCGTGTCCGGCGCATGCAGCCCCAGCGTAGCGTGGTGCCGGGGAGTGCAGGCGGCCAAAGTGCCGTGAATGAGGCATGGTTTCCTCTTACATTTCAGAATATTCTATTACTGCTATTTTGTGAATGTAATTTCCATTATTATTGCATTATGCACCCAATATTATTATTATTATAGGCACTAAACATCTCTGAATGAGATATGCCAATTTTAAGATTGTAGTAACAGTTTCCAACAATTATGGCACTAAAAATCATACAAATGACCATATTACAATAGTCAAGTGCCAGTCCTAATGCACTTGGGTTAAATCAGGAAACAACTAAGTGTTAACCCTCTGTGATGTCTGAAATAAAGACCTTCTTAGGTAGGAGGGTCTCAAAGAAGTTAAATGAAATGGCTTTTTAGTGCATCTTAGAGGCATTAGAAGCATCCTCCTATCAAAAATTATCTCCTTTTCTTATGCCTGAAATACATATAAATCACCTTTCACAGACTTTATAAGAAAAAGGGAAATTCAATTTTAACTGGATTAAGTTGCAAGGCCATCTGGCAGCTTCCTCACTATGGGCACAAGTTTACCCCTGTGTTCACCCACCTGGAAGCAAGAGCTGAGAGGAAAGGGGGATGTAGAGAAGGGGCACCAACACTTGTATTAGTTTTCTAGGGCTGCTGTGTAACAAAGTATCCCAAACTGTGTGGCTGCAACAACAGAAATGCATTGCCTGGGTTCTGGAATCTGAAACCAAAGTGTGGGCTTTTCTGGGGACTGTGAGGGAGGGTCTGCTTCATGCTGCCTCCCAGCTCCCGGTGGTTTGATGGCAAGCTTCAACAGCCCCTGGATTCTGCACGACTCTGATCTCCGTCTTCATGTCCACACTGTGTTATCCCTGTGTGTCCGTGTCCAAATTCACCCTTTTTAAAGGATACCAGTTACACCGGCTTGGGGTCCACTTTACACTAGTATGGCATCATTAAACTAATTATACCACAATGACCCTTCAGTTAAGGTCACCTTCTGAGGTACTAAGGGTTAGGACTTCAACACAGGAATTTGGGGGGCACACAAGACAGCCCACAACAGTGTCTGAGGTAGCTATCACTATTGAGCTTTGGCAAGACAGCATGAGTTTGGGAGCCAATTCCCCAGGCCAATGCCCAGGGAAAGTGTGCTGGGCCAGAGAGCCCAGGGCCAGCAACCATCGGAGGCAGTTATGGACAACTTCCTGCCAGCTCCTACACCAGCCAACACTGACAGCTCCAATCTTGCTAAGTGTCAAACCCAGAGCAGGTCAGCAAACCGCCAAGGCCAATGAAAGCCACCATCATGAAACCCCTGTGCCCATTCCCTGGTTCTGTCTGGGCCACAGAGCCAGGCCCAGCAAGTGCAGCTTGTCTTTGGCACCCTCCCATTCCTAGCTGCACCCCTCTCCCTCCTTCTGGAACTCCTTCAGGCACTCAGCACCCTCGTGCCCCCAGCTCCCCACCCGAGCCTGTTCCCCTTCAAGGGGGCTGCTATGCAGGATAGGAGACTTGTTACGTGCTGGCTGGCTCTCAGGAGGGTGAAAATGGAAGCTGCAACACCTGTAAAGAACTAGGTTAGGACTCACCAGCATCACTTCCATGGCATTCTATTGGTCAAAGCAAATCACAGGGCCAGCCCAGATTCAGAGGGAGGTGAAACAGATTCCAGCCCTTGAGGGCAGGAATGGTGAACACAGAAAAGATGAGATGAATTGTTCATAGCCACGTGTGTAGTTCTTGACCCCGTGGGTTAAAAGCAATGTTAATTCACATACAAATCCATGAATGAACTAGTTATTACAGTAGACATGAACTTTCTACTGGACATAAGTAACAGTCCAGGAAAAATAAATAATAAAGCCTTTATTCATCAGATTATTAAAGAAGGGACATTAATTAAAACATGGCATTCACTATTAGATCTGGCTTTCCTTGAAAGTTGACAGAGAACCTAGATATCCAATGGATTAAGGATGACTAATAAAAAATACTGAAAAGGACAAGTAAATATGTATGAGTCTTAGATAGTGTATTAGTCTACTAGGGATGCTATAACAAAATGCCACAAGTGGGTGACTTAACGGAAATTTAGTTTCTCACAGTTCGGGAGGCTAAAAGCCCAAGATGGAGGTGTCAGTAGGTTTGGTTTCTCCTGAGGCCTCTCTTTGGCTCACTGATGGCTGCTTTTTCCCCGTGTCCTCATATGGCCTTTCTCCTGCACGTGAGCACTCTTCATATGTCTTGTTCTTACAAGAACGCCAGTCCTATTGGACTAGGTTCCCACTCCCATGACTTCATAACTTTAATTATGTTGATAAAAAGGCCCTGTCACCAAGCACAGTCACATTGGAGGGTTAGTACTTCAACCTACGCATTTTGGAGGGAACACGATTCAGTCTGTAACAGATATAAAACAGGTAGGTAGTCTTGCTATACTCTAGTGAGAGACAACCAGTATCTCTCCACAGAGAGTTCTGAAATACATGCCCGCTACTGTTATGGCAGCCTGGCTTCCGGAGACCCAGCGCTTCCTCCTCTGTACTGAATGGCTAACTCTACTTCTGGGCAGTAGAAAATGTGAGCCACCTAATTTGTTGAAGGTGAGTCATAGAGCCTGTGGCAGATTTTATTTTTCCAAGGGTGGCCTCACCATTAGCTCCCATCTCACAATATGGCCTTGACACTCATCCCATCAAGAGATGGGGCTGGTGTCCCCGCCCTCAGAAATGGCTTCATAAGGTGGGACCTGTGTAATCACACCAGGCCCTGCATTTAGAAGGCAACTTGATTTAATGCTCTGTTGTCCTTGACTTGAAATTCTTAATACGTTTTGAAAAAAGGGACCCTGCACTTTCATTATTCACTGGGCCCCACAAATTATTCATCTTGTCTGTGACCATCCCTTGAGTCTTCATGGGCTTGTGACTATTGACTAATCGGGTATGAGAGAAGCCCCAGACCACTGCCTCCACCCAACAGGACCAACTTCACTTTTCTCTTTTTTTATATTTGGAATCTCTTGCAAGTTTTTGCTTGAAAAAGAACTTTCCTGCTTAAGAAAACAAAGTTTGAAGGCCCCCACCTATAACCTGTTTTTAAAACTTTTATTTTTTTAAATTAATTAATTAATTAATCCTCATCTGAGCATATGTTTATTGATTGTACAGACAGAGGAAGGTGAGAGAGGGAGAAGGAGAAACCTTGATGTGAGAGAGACATCAACCGGTTGCCACTGTTCCCACCCCAACTGAGGATCAAACTCACAACCTTCTGGGGTATGGGGTGATGCTCCCTGGCCACCTGAGCCGCCTGGCCAGGGCAGTAACTTTCAAACTGCTATAATTTACTTAACCCATCCGCCTTCTGATGGACACATAGTCTCTTTTCAATTGGATGATATTACAAACTGATAGGATCAACAACTTGTAGCTAAATATTTAAGTGTGTTCTATTATTTTCTTAGAATAAGAATACCCCCAGAAGTGGAGGAGCAGGTTCAGAAGATAAGCGTGGTTTACAACGTTTAATAATTTTACCAGCCTGCAGCCCCTTCTCGTCCCTGCTCTTGAGAAACAGGACAAACAGGCTGTGCTAAGGGTGGGCGCCCTGTGCAGATACACAACAAAAGACTCCTGCCCCGGCTGGTGTAGGTCAGTGGACTGAGCACCAGACTGTGAACCAAAAGGTCACCGGTTCAATTCCCAGTCAGAGGAAATGTTTGGGTTGCAGGCCAGGTCCCCAGCTGGCGGTGTGTAAGAGGCAACCAGTTAATGGTTCTCTCCCTCTCTTTCTTTCTCCCTCCTCTCTCTCTAAAAATATATAAATACAACCTTTAAAAGAAAAAAGAAGATTCCTCTCATCATCAGCCCTGTCAGTACCCACTTGTCTTCTCACCCCAAAGACATATGATACCCCGGAACATCCCTAAACACGCCTGTGCCTTTGTGCCTCAACAATCCACTAGATGAGACAAAATCTGAGCGCCACTTAAAGAAAGAGAAAACAAGACAAATCGATTTTAACTAGCTACATGATAAATCATCTTTTTATAACTTTTCATTTGAGACATTTTAGTAAAAAGTGCTTTATCTATTGTTTTAAATTAAATCTTTAAAGGGATATAGATTCTTTCCCACTCCTGAAATACGTATTAAAACTTAAAACTGGCCATTACCATCTATTGTAAAGCTAATTAACCATTATATTAATTTTTAAAAACCTGGCTAAGAGCCAAAGCTACAT